ATACATAAAATTATGGGAGAAGTGAAAAAAAAAACTATGAAGATTATCAATAGTAAAATAAAAGAAAAACCAAAGAGAAAGAAAATAAATTTAGAGATGTATAAGATAGAGATATAATTTGAGAGGGTGTGAGAGATGAAGATGAATAAATAGTTGTTGTTAATGAAGCTTAAATTCGAAAAAAGTTTATCATATCCTGTGATTATAAAATATCAAAATTTTATTCGAATTTATATGATCAWATYRTAAAMACAATTTATATAATCCAATCGTAAACACAATCATATCCTATGATAAAAACACATCCAACAATATTGAAAAAGAAACATGTAATAACAAATCACATTTTTTAATGAATATAATTTCTACATACCTTTTAAAATCTTTGAATTCTTCTTCAACTCTCATCTTCTTCATCCTTCACCAAAGGATTTTATATGATTTCATTTTGTTTATTATTGAAACTTTAAAAAACAAATTTCTTTAAGAAATAAAAGAAAGTAAATGGAAGAGCAAATGAAGAGTTGGAGGTTAAACTTGGGTATACAAAATTACAAAAATAACCCGGGTTAATTATGAGCTTTACATTTTTCATCAAGGGGCAAAAAAGTCTTTAACATATTCAACATTTAAAAAAAATAAAAAAAATGAGAAAAAAGATAAGAGGGGTTCTAAGCATTAGAAGGTGTCACCTCATTACCTTTGGTTTCTTCTTTAATATATATATAGATTTTAGGTTCATTTGAAGATTTATTGACCCAACCTGTACAAATACATCAAAATGCAAATAGGTCCTTATTTTTTTTATATAGGTTATATATATTTATGTCAATCAATATAATAGAGTTTCAAAAAAATATCTGTTTCATACCTATTTTGACTAGTAACCTGTTGTGTAACATTTGACGACATACATGTCAAGTTATCAATAAAGATATTTTGATCAATAACTGGCTGACCTACAATTATATATATATATATATATATATTTCATTCAATATGATTTAAAAACTTGATATTTTTGTCAATAAATGTTACGTAATCAATAATTTAACAATTTAAACTGATATAAAATAAAAAGTTTGAAACTTTATAACCTTGATTAAAAAGATATTATTTATTAAATTAATTAAAAAAATAAAATAAACTCTCTTACATTTAATCATTTCACCTTTTATTCCATCATGTAACACCATACCTATTTTGTTTTGAGAATTAAAATATTTGACATAAGCTGAGCAATTGATTACAATTCCACTTTAGTGGCAAAATAAACAATTTGTGAATGAATAATAATATAAACTAATGTTATCAAAGGGCATTTGACCTAGAGGTACGTGAGTCTTTGTCTCCTAAGAGGTCAAGAGTTCAAACATCACCAAATGTGAGAAGGGTATATGTGTTTATTTGTTCTATTTGTCATATATAAATATTATATACTTAAAAAATATATAAACTAATGTCTATCAATGAAAAAAAAATTTGATTTTTCATATATTTTTTAGTTTTTTTAATCAACTATAACTTTAACTTGATTTTAACCATGACATACAAACTTCTATATTTTTGTGTTCTTTAATAAATCTTGTATAACTTTATAAATGATCTTCAAATTTGAATTTCTTGTGCTTCAAGAACTTGACAACAAAGTTATTGATTTAGACTCGATAATTTGCCCGGTGTGTAAAGATCATCGAATCGGTGAAACACTTTTTGCTCGGCTGTAAGCACCATGAACTTATATGAACACGTCTTCGTTTGGTGGAACAGTTACTGCAATTTATTGACCTCCATTTACGAGTTGCTCAACTTTGTTGGAGAAAGATAGATCTCAGATTCATAAAAGGGCATCCTGCAAGTGGTAATTTGGATTGCGGTGTACTTTCTTTGGAGATTTAGAAACTCTCGGGTCTTTAAAGGAGTCGATTCTATTCCTGTCTTTCAATTGGATTTTTTAGAGATGCAATTCTTCTTCAATTTCTTGGGTTTCTTGGTTCCGTACCCTTTTTGCAGTGGTCGTTTGAGCGTTTTTCTTCCGGCATTGGTTCTCGTTTTTGTTGTAGTTTGATGTTTTTTTTTGTCTGTTCCTAGTCCTCTTTTGTTTCGGTTTCTTGGTGGTTCTTGAAACATTTTTCTGTCTCTCACCCCCTCGATACTTTTCTTTGTTTTCCCTTTCATTTTCTTAATAAATTGCCTTTAACAAGATAATTAGATATTTCTAAAATCACCTGTATGAAATAAAAATGCTGTATTTATTTTAAATACTGTTCATAGGTTGAGTTTCAGTAAGAATGAAAGTTATGGTAAGAAAGGATATCCACCGTTGGTTCAATCATAATTGAAGAGAAACACTAGATCAAGTATAAAGAGATACACCAGATCAATTTCGTTCTAAAACGATATCCATAGATTGGTTTAAGATTAAAAATGAAGATCCAAACCTCTTCTTAAACTTCTCAGCTTAATTTAATCTTCTACTTTTTATAGGATATTAATTTGTTATATTTACAATTTGCACCCTCGATCCAGAAGGGTTTTTTCATAGAAATTAATAACATTGTCTACCGACTTAACATACACCAATTATGAATAAAACAGAATTATTAAAATATTTCACTTTCCATGTCATGATCTTCGTTACAAATATTCGATCGGGGAGAACAGGCCATTCTACAGGCGGATTCTGAAATTGCGGAGGCTTGATTCGACCAAGCTGCTGAGTATTGAAAACAAGCTATAACACTTACTCTTGGTAATTATATTGAAGCGCATAATTGGTTGAAGATCATTAGACGTTTTTCTTTATTTTTAGTAAAACATAATCAATAAATAATTTAATTACTTAGTTCATATTTGATTAAAAAAAAGTCCAAAAAAATCTAATAAACTTTCTCATTTAAACGATTTAATCCCTAAATTATTTTTTTGTATAAAAAAGCCATTAAAACTTTTCATTTTAAATGATTAAGTTCATGAACTATTTTTTTAAATAAAAAATCATTAAACTTTGCATTTTAAAATATTAAGACCGTGATTTTTTTTTTTAAATAAACAAACCATCAAACTTTTAATAGTCGTCTAATGTAGTTTTTTTTTTATGTTTATATAACATATTTGACTCAAACGACTTTGTCCAAACACCATATGTTTATATAACATATTTGTATTATTCCCAAAATTAAACTTTTTCTTAAAGATACTTTTATATGGTTTTATAGAAAAATTAGAATTCCATTAATTTCTTTATTTATTTACCACTTTTTAAAATTTTATTTCATAATAAAATTTGTCCAACTCCGTCTTAATAAATTATTATAATACTTTTTTAGTAAGACTTATAGTTGTTGGTCATATAAACTTAAACAACCTGTTAAATATTTCATTAGAAAGATTGGATGTGTTATAACATGTCAATGACAGGTTATGAATTACCATCGTAACACCGACTCCAGCTATGATTTGTACAGAATAATTAATGATTTTCGTTTTGGCAAATGCACAGTAATGTAATTGGATTTATAGGATGTACAAAAAGTTCTGGAAATTTTCATAGACTAATTTATAAGATTTAAGTTTTTAAGACGAAACACTTGTAGAGTCTCAAATTAATCTTTTTACGTGACACTTGTAGAAATTGTTAAATGAACACATGTAATTCTTGATAGAACCCCCAAATGAACATTATTTAATAATTATTCTAAAAACTTGTTAGAACCCTAAAACCGTTCTATCAACTTATTAACATAAGATATTTATATAAGTCATACAATTGTTTGATCATATCAGACAATCTGTTGAGCTTCGTCGTGTTGTAATTTGACTAATTCTTCTTAGTTGTTTTTTGGTTGTTTCGGCTTCTCTTTTGTATGGTTTCTTGTTGTGTTGGTAGCCCTGCATACAAGGATGGACCCATGAATTTTTTTATATGGTGGCACCATATAATATAGACAAAAAATAATTACAAAAAAACACAATTTTAATCAACGTGTCTTCATGTTTTTACTAACGTTCAATATCGCTCGATGTGTTTTTAGCTTAATTCCACCGTTTTCGAAGGATTTTTAAAGTTTTTTTTACTTGATTTCGATGAATTTTTTAGTTTTTTAATCGATTTTTCGGGGCTTTTTTTGGTTGATTTCAAGAGTTAATTTTTTTTTTTTGTTGATTACCTTCTTGAACTTTTGAATATCATACGATACCACCTTCCAAAAGATACAGTTGCATCTTTCATAAACGTAAAAAAAAAAAAATTAACCTTTCGACAAAGAGATAATACGGTGTCACGTGCCATCATATGCCCTGCTATAGGTCCATCCACACCTGTATGTGGGGGTTTTCTTTGGTTTGGGCTCGTGACCTCCTTCTTTTCTACGTTCTCTAGATGGAAGGTAACCGAGTATGTTTTTGTCCGGTTATACTATTTTCATTGACTAGGTTTGGTTTTATTTGATTTTACAAAACGGTCGCCTTTCAAAAAAAGTACCAACACTTAAACATTTTTATCGTTTTATACAATCGAAAAAATTCGTATTACTATTTACTAGTGTATGTATTGAGTTGGAAATTGGTCCATACGAATATGAATTATCTTTACAACCATTTTGCCGACTCGGAAAAGGATGGATGTTTATCAAATATTTGGTAATTAATATGGATCATGGACACTAGCTATCTTCAACCGTCATACACCGACCATTGTTGCGATCGATCTCTAGCTTTCTAGCAGCTTGTTTCAATTCCAATTTCTGCATACATCTGAATGAATGCATTTAAACCATGTTCACCTGCAGGTCCTGCACACCATTGAAGTCATAACCAGCTTAGAGAAGAGCACCACATATTCATTGATGAATTAAGTAGGCAGCTAGCAATCAATCAAGAAACACCAAACCCTTTTTATTCAATTATTGATCCACTCATCAAAACAAACAAAACCCTTTTGCTTTGTGTCCTTTTTGAACTTAACCCAGAAATAGAATCCTAAAAAGCTCCCTTATCCCTCATCCATACACCTCTTTTGATTTTCTTGAAAATAAAATAAATAAAAACCTCTCTCTTTTCCATTTGGAAAAGTTGATGGATGTGTGGGGATGCATGTCATGTGTCATAAAAAAGACATAAACAACAACACCACCATGATTCCTTTATAAGTGCAAGCACCCCCTCATGTTGATTCCATCTCCTCATTGTTCTCTCTTTTAGTTTTTCTTGAAAATTTTCGAAAAGATTCGGATTTCCGACGCCATCTTTCTAAAAGAAGAGAATAATGGAGGGAAAGGTTGAAGATCATCAAGATTTGGGTGGTTCTCATAATCATAATCATAATCATAATCATAATCCATGTGTTGTAGAGATTGCCATGGAGATCCACAAGGTTGAAACACCACCAAAAAGAAGCAGCTTTCAGAAGTTGATGAACAGACTCAAAGAAACATTCTTTCCTGATGACCCTCTTAGGCAATTCAAAGGACAACCCACTCAGCAAAAATGGATTCTTGCTTTTCAATACATCTTTCCAATACTTCAATGGGGTCCTCATTATAACCTCAACCTACTCAAATCTGATGTTGTTTCTGGTCTCACTATTGCTAGTTTAGCCATTCCTCAGGTATTTTAAATCTTTCTTTCACCTTCTTATATCTATATATATATATATATGCCATCTTCTTTTTATATAATTCTTAAAGAAAATGTGTTTACAAAGAATTCTCTTTTGGTTTCATGGTTGTTTTGTTTAGGGTATAAGCTATGCAAAGCTTGCCAATCTCCCTCCTATTGTTGGTCTATGTAAGTATAGTGTTTAACGGTCAAAATATATGTCTTAAAACATCATTTAAACCGATTGCTGAGTATATGCATAAATATTTGGTGATGGTGTGTAGATTCAAGTTTTGTGCCACCACTCATATATGCTGTGTTTGGGAGTTCAAGAGATCTAGCAGTTGGACCAGTGTCAATAGCATCACTATTGATGGGGTCAATGCTAAGACAAGAAGTGTCACCTGGTCATGACCCTCTTTTGTTTCTTCAATTGGCTTTCACTTCTACCTTCTTCGCTGGTCTCTTTCAAGCATCTCTCGGGTTTCTAAGGTCTGTACACGTTGACCCACGGTCACCTGACGATTGAAATTAGATGATCACATGTTCGTTTCTAACCATTTATCATAAACGAACATGTTAACTTAATTTCAGTCTTCAGATGCTTTTCTTGATGTTGGTGGTCAAATGATGTTGACCTCAAAAACATTCCATGGGCCATGGGATTCTTGATTACAAAATAATGTACAAAATTTTAATTTAATGCATGATATATATATATATATATATATATACATTTATTTATGTGTGTGTAGGCTTGGGTTCATAATTGATTTCTTGTCAAAGGCTACACTTATTGGGTTCATGGCTGGAGCAGCAATCATAGTATCACTTCAACAATTGAAAGCTCTTCTGGGTATCACACATTTCACCAAAGAAATGGGATTGGTTCCTGTTATGTCCTCTGTTTTCCACAACACTAAAGAGGTATGTGTTTTATCTGATATATATGCTTGATTAATTTGAGCTTGGCTCCAAAGGTCAAAAGTGTCCGGAGGTCCCAGGTTCAAATCCAAGGAGGAACAATGATCCACTTATGGCCACGGAGGTTCACATGCGGTGATTTCGAGCTACCTGTTTGTGGTCGTCCTGAGATTAGTCGGCTCGCATAGCGGGTTGGATATTCACGTTAAATCAAAAAAGAGTTGTTTCAACATTATTGAATTTTATATAAACAACATTCAATTTTTATTGAAATTTTTGAGTAAAAAGGTCTAGATCATTGAGTCCAATTAATAAGACAAATAAAAAGGAATATTGTCACGTATTTCGATACCAGTTATCTGAAAAGGGAGAAACACAGAACGAAACGAAAAACATGTAATGTTGTGTCCAATGAAGAAAGTACAAAACATTATTGTTTTCGATACGTATATATACAAGCAGGGGCCAATTTAAATAAAAACACTATGTATCTTGAAAAGGTAAGAAAAGAATATTCATATGTGAATAATTGAAAAAATCCGATATTTTTTAATTTAAAGATGAATATGTGAACAAATTATTCATATATTCATCTTTAAATGGATTTTTTTAATAATTCACATATGAATATTTCCTTAACATTCTCTCTTATTTTCGATATTTATTCTTATTATTTCAACTTTCAAACTGTATTTTTGTTTTCAATTTTTATGATTATTTTTTGTTTGTTTATTTTATTTTTTGTTGCAGTGGTCATGGCAAACAATCTTGATGGGGTTTTGTTTTCTTGTATTCCTACTTGTGACAAGACACATTGTAAGTAATATTATTGTAATTCCATAATTGCCCTTGATTGATTTGTTGTATCGTACGTACGTACGTACGTACCCGTCAAGTAATAAGGCTTGAACCATCGAGAATCCTACTCATAAGTTACCGGTTTAAGTTCTGTAATTTTAGTCGGAATTTTCTCGACTGATATTTAGGGACCCTAAAATTGTCGAGATGCGTATAAATTGACCCAAAGAGCATAATTTCTATAAATTTGATGCTCGTGACTTTTATTCTTGATCTTATTTTTTGATAATTTTATTTTTATTATAAAACAAGTCATAAAAAGTTAAATATGAACACAGAAAAAATAGCAAATGCATAAAATAAAGCCGCAAAAAACCATGGGAGACAACATATCACGAGAAAGGGCGGTACGAAAAGTACTAAAAGACATATTTATCCCTCTTGTTTTTTCTATGAAACAAAAGGAATTTTTCTTTTTATTAAATTATTTTAGAATTATGCCTAAGATTTAATTTATTACAAAATTAAAAGATAATGTGAAACCACGTGTGCACGATTATAAAGATATTAAAATTTTTATTTAATTAAACTTATGAGGTATTTAGTTCAGTAGTGGAATGAAAATGATAGGAAATGAATTTTCATTCTCCCCCAGTTTAACTTGGAATCAGAATTTGGGCTTCTCATGGAATGAGCACATTATATTATATAAAACCAAACAGTTTTCTTTATTTTTATTTTCATCGATTACTGTCTAATACTTCTAACCAAACACCCCCTTAGATTATTTATGCTCAATATATGTAACAATATTTTGTATTTTATTATTTTAAAAAGTAATTTAATCAGATTTTACATATTTTTATATGATATTACAGTTAGGGATTTAACACTGAGGGACGATTTATGCTCGTCTAACCTATGTTGTAGAGGGTGTGTTAGAGTCTCACCACGGCTCCTTTTCTTTTCAATTGTTCTTTTGAAAGATAATCTAATCAGGTTCTATATTTACTCGCACAAGAAAAACAAACTATATCTCAGTGCGGGTTGTTTAGTAATTTTAATACAAATATGATGTCAAATATAGATTTATGATTTTATCGGGTTACAAGAATATAAATATATGATCACTAATTTAATTGCAGAGCATAAAGAAACCGAAGCTATTTTGGATATCAGCAGGAGCACCTCTCCTTTCGGTCATCGTCTCCACGCTCTTTGTTTTTGCTTTCAAAGCTCAACACCATGGCATTTCTGTCGTTAGTTTTCTTCTTCTTCTCCTTCTCCTTCTTATAATTAATTAATTATTTATTTTATTTAATTATATAAATCATAAAAATTAAACCTTATTCATTATTAATTATGGTTTAAACAGATTGGTAAATTAGAACAAGGATTAAATCCACCTTCATGGAACATGTTACATTTTCATGGAACCCATCTTGGTTTAGTCTTGAAAACTGGACTCATCACTGGCATCATTTCCCTCACTGTAAGTCTACAACTTTCTAAGGGTATTTCTGTCTTTTCACCTGTAACCCACCATTCTTAAAAGGGTATTTCTGTCTTTTCCATTGAACAGGAAGGGATTGCTGTAGGAAGAACATTTGCTGCCTTAAAGAATTATCAAGTTGATGGTAACAAAGAAATGATAGCAATTGGAGTCATGAATGTTGTTGGTTCCACCACCTCATGCTACATCACCACAGGTTAATTCATATATTAACTAACCCTTAAGAGTGTGACATGTTTTATAGGGTTGGGTTCACGTGAGACCAATCTATCTTTTCGAGACCTGTGAAACCACTTTTTACACTTAAAACTTCACAGCAAAACGTTGTGAAGGTAAAAAAAACCGAACCTTCACAGCAAAAACACTGTGAAGGTTACCTTCATAACGTTTTGGCTGTGAAGTTTCAAGTGTAAAGTAGTAGTCTCACGGGTCTCATGAAAACAGGTTGGTCTCACGTGATCCTAAGTCATGCTTTGTAAGCGTGTTATATTGTTAAATTAATTATAATCTGTACTTTCTGAATTTAGAAAGTACATGTTGTATGTTACTACTTGTACTTAATTAAGATCTGTACTCGTATTCTAACCGCCACCCTAAAATTGTAGGTGCGTTTTCACGGTCTGCCGTGAACCATAATGCAGGAGCCAAGACCGCAGTCTCCAATATAATCATGGCAGTGACAGTTATGGTGACACTGCTATTCTTGATGCCTTTGTTTCAGTACACTCCGAACCTTGTGTTGGGTGCCATCATTGTCACCGCGGTCATTGGCCTCATCGACATCCCGGCTGCTTACCAGATTTGGAAAGTTGATAAATTCGACTTCGTGGTCATGTTATGCGCTTTCTTTGGCGTGATCTTTATATCGGTCCAAGAAGGACTGGCCCTGGCTGTAAGTATTCTCACTTCTCTACCGGTTACACAATCCGGGATTTGCCCATATGAACTTCATTAGTGTATACATTCATCAATGAATGTATGAGTATATTCATTAATGAATGTGCTCTTTCTGCGAATGTTATTCTGTTATTGGGTATATTCATTGATGAATATACACTGGTCTTTTTTCGTTATAACTTTCGTGCGTCGGAATTTAGGTGGGGATTTCAATCTTCAAGATGGTGTTACAAATGACAAGGCCCAAAACAGTGGTGTTGGGGAACATACCTGGTACAGACATATTTAGAAACAGACATCAGTACAAGGAAGCTGTTTCAGTCCCAGGGTTCTTGATTTTAAGCATTGAAGCTCCAATCAACTTTGCCAACTCCAATTATCTGAATGACAGGTGATTTGATCATTAGATCTGAGTTCTACAGTAACTTAAAGATTCCATATTCATTATTTTCTGGTTTCATCATTTCTTGAAGGATTTTGAGGTGGATATTAGATTATGAGGAGGAAGAAGAAACCAAAAGACATTCTGGTCTCAGATTTGTGCTTCTAGATCTTTCTGGTAACTTCTAGATTTTACTTGTTGCTTACCTCATCGATTCTAGAAAGCATTTGGATCTATCCAACGCGTAAATATCTAAAAATATCGTCTTTGTTCTGTGTGTTCTTCAGCTGTAAGTGGCATTGATACAAATGGAGTAACATTCTTTCAAGAACTCAGGAGGGTATTGGAAAAGAAGGGTGTTGAGGCAAGTTCTAAATATTCAAGATCTCGATGACTTCTTTCTACAGTGACGGGTTCAAATAAGAAGGTTAAAAAAGGGTTCATACGTGAATCATTGAAAAATCCGTTATAAACCCATATGAATAATCTGTAACATCGTCTTCAAAGAGATTTTTTCAATTATTTCTTCCCTTCTTACAATATTTAGCATTCTTATTTGAACCAGCTCCATCATCTATAATCTTCAAATTAACCTTCTTTCTTTCTATAATATTTTTCTAGTTTTTTCGGCGATTGATTAATGTTTTTGAACCGGTTACAGCTAGTATTGGTGAATCCGGTCGGGGAAGTGCTGGAGAAATTGCAAAAAGCGGACGGAACCAACGATCTTTTGCAATCGCATGCTCTTTTCTTGACGGTAGGAGAAGCCGTCTCATCGTTGTTTTCGTCGATGAAGAGTGTCTCATCAAGCCATGGCTGAAGGAATGAACTATTGCAATTGGCAAATTAACATGGGGAGTGAAAGAAAAGCTGTAAGTATTGCAATCTAATCTCAAGATGTAGATGTTTGTTTTTAGGTTGTAGGGATTTTAGGAACCAAATCTTGTTAAGGTTCCTAAAAGGGAATGAAACACCCCATGAACTATATTTTTGGAACACCCATGTGATGTTTTGACCTTAAAGATTTCAATTGTTAAGTTACTGAGTCTAATATATTTCACTTGAAAGTCGGTTCTGATTTTTTTTTCCTTTTTGAAGTAATATTTATATACGGTAAATAGAACAAATAAACTAACACACTCTTCTCACCCTTGACCTCCTAGAAGGCCAAAGACTCACATACCGCTAGGCCAAAGGCCCTTTGGTAATATTTATTCTCTTTGCAGTATCAACCAAACGAGCCCAGGATATATATTTGAAAGTAGGGTCTTGGATTTTATACCCAATAAGCAATCTCAACTCCATGGGAAACAATAGTTTTCTAAGGCTATTACCAACAAAACCTGCCCAATATATCCAACTCGGATTTCGGATTTTGGGCCTTTATTCGCAATAAAGTTCTCTTAACCATTTACCAATTCAACATTGTGTTGATAGGATGTGTTTGGTATACAGGACATGACGGGACATGACAGAATAAAAACTTGTCCATGTTATAAATTTATAAAAGTTGTTAAGTCGTACTGACACCGTTTAACTCTAGAAAAGAATCTATGAATTTTTTTTTCATAAAATTGTTATAGATCCGTTGGTTGGTTTCTTGCTTTTGCAGAAAAAAACCTGTGTTTGAACATTATTTTTGAGTTTTTTAAAATAATGCAAAAGCTATATAAAACTCCTCAAAATTTAAGCTCGAAAAATAAGAAATTTGGTAGAAAAAGGACTTGGATCCAAACCTTTTTGTACAAGCGCAACAACGTTAACCATCTCTGCCGTCACAAACTCGTGCCATTAGTTTAGTTTCAAAGAATATACATGGACCCGACGAAAAGATATAGTCTTCATAGATGTAATTTATTTCTGTCACGACGGAACCATGACGTGGTGGCCTGTATGACCATATTCCTCTATGTAGGTCTGCCCTTGTACGTTTATACGATATTTAGACTAAAAAATAGAACCGAGTACGACAAAAAACACATTTTTTGGTCCCACCAAAATTGGTGAAACAAAAATCTGACATATCTACCAAGATTGATAAATTACTAAACTATTCATGTCAAATTAAAATCCTAAAACCTTGCACAGCTTTTTCACTTGTCGAGTCCCATCTGCATACCAAACAGTTAAAAACAAAACAAAGAACACTACTTTTGACTCATGAACAGCTTCATGATTAATTACTTACAAGATTAGGTTATGATATGAACTGCAAACACAAGAGAATTAGCAAAAAGAAGGTTCAACAGGGTGAAATAAATATTTTCAAATTATGATATTATTGTTCTGTAAGCTTTCTTCAGTACACAGAGAAGGGTATAAGAAAAAAAAGGGTTATGGTTTTCTCTAGAAATGATCAAACCCGAAACGGAAAACAACTTACAACAAGCAGAATACGAGTATAACGTTATCGCCTTTGGATTTTGACCATTTCTATGTGACGGAGAAAAGGTTTTACAGCCGAAAGGGTTATTTACCAGAAAGCATACAATAAAGTTACTGCTATGTGTTTTGTTAGACGAGAATTCTGAAGGGGTTAGCTTCCAATATCGTTCCATGTGGTGTTTCTAGATTTTCTTTATATGTTCATGAAGAATCAGTATCGGACTCTAAAGCCGCCAGAAAACTTGCAATTATTGGCGCTTCCTCTGATAGAGCGAATATCCAACAAACGCGGACATCAGGAACGTCCATAGCACCTGCAGATGATATGTAGAAAAACTTATTCAACTCAAGCAAACAAAGCACAATCACCAGTGATCTAATGTATGGCACCGAAACTAGCTTTATAGAACGACAAATATATCCAAATGTCCTAATAAACTGCTTAATAGGACTTGAGTTTATAGGACCAAACAATTGTAACTTCTTATGTAATGGTAGTACAATAAGTTGTTGGAACATTTTTTAGCGTTTTAACAAAAAATTTGGACACTGTTGAAATGAAGTGTCCTATTAGTCATTCTACATGACATTATTTGAAAGTGTGTTATAAAAACGTGTCTTATAAAAAGATTTGTTTGTCCCCTATAAAATGCTAATAGGACAACTTATTTCAAAATTATCCTACGTAGGGGACACAATTCTTTGGTCCTCAAAGCTAAAATCCTATAAAAGAGTCTATTAGGACAATTAGATATATTTGACGTCCTATTAAGCCGATTTTGCTGTAGTGTGATTGGGGATCCCATGTCCTTTATCGGGGGTCTTCGCAGAAACAGCCGCTCTAGCAGGTCAGGTCTGCGTACATCCCATCCCCGCCCCCACTATTCCAGACCCCACTTCCGAGTGAGATATACAGTGTATTGTTTAGTTCATATACTCAACGTCCGGGAAAGAAGATGAAATCCACATAAGGGAGAAAGAAGGAAAGTTGTAATCGTTTATCCTATTTCTCTCCATTCTCCACTCCATTTTCTCGAGGCATTGGACTCACATTCACATCTTCATTCTCCATTTAAGTTGAACCAACAAACACATCTTCGTTTTATTTCACATAATAAACCCCGTAAAAATGAAATTGTTAAATGGCTGAAAAGAATACAAGCAGTGAGAATTACTTACTGTATTAATTGCCTGCCACCGTTCGAGTCTCTTGATTCTTGACTGCATATCTTCAATCACACCTTCCACGGGGGAAACAACCTCCCTAATTGGTGAGGACTCCGAAGATGAACTGCCACCCTGTTCATAAACGGCAAAGTTAAACTAGGATATCATCATAAAAACTCCACTAGATTGCAGTTTTTAATTTTGAACGTATAGTTTAATAGAAGTGTTTGGCTCTTGACCAAATGGCTCAGTACCCTCCAATATAACAAAATTAAGGAATTTGGTGGATCTAAAATATAAATTCTTTATAATAACAAGTACAATCGAAGGGTTTTGACTATTAAACACACCTCAAATACCCTGTAATTCTTAATAGTTATGACTATGGGTAAAATAAGTACTATGAGATTAAAAAATTGGCATAAAAGAAAATGTTGTGATACTAAGAGGCCATCTCACCAAAGGAAATTATTGCCCTTTTCTTAAGATGGAGATAGTCAAAAGAAAGGGTTATTTAGCTAAATGACCTTCTGATAAGTTTCTAGGCATTCTTGTGTATAGAAGTGGTATTTTTATGTTAAGCGGTAGCATTCTACAACTTGTCGGAAGGTCATGGCTTTAAAAAGAATCTGGGAGTCATTTAACTAAAAGACCGAGGTTATTTAGCAAAATGACCTCCAGAAAAGTGCTTTTTAAATCCATGACCTTCCTACAAGTTTCTAGGCATTCCTGTGTGTGGAAGTGGCATTTTTCTGACAGGTCATGGATTTTTAAAAAAAATATAGCAGAACGTCATTTAACCAAAGGACCCAGAAAGAAAACAGTATCTTCAAGCATGTTTCTACATGTCTCTCTCTGTGTGTGTGTGAGAGAGAGAGAAAGAGAGAGAAGTGGAACCTGAGATTGGATGTTGTCAACAAGTTCTTGCAATCTTGCAGCTTGTTGACCATTAATCCCACTTGAACTTCTATCTGATGCTGGTAATTTTTCCAGCACTATTTCAAGGTAACTCTGAAGAAACGACCAAAAAAAAATAAAAAACGATAAATGCTTGAAACAAAACCACAAAGATGGTATTCAGGTTATAATGCTAAGTTTTTGCAGAACCTTTGTGGTGTATGAACCATCCAGCTCAAGTGTTGAACCAGCAGCCACCACAACTTCTTTGCTTGCTCCTTTTATCTGTATATAGGGCCCTGGGACATCTTGTAGATGATCAACCTCTATAAGAAGCTACAAAAAAAAAAGCCAAATTTCCAATTAAAAGCTAATTTACCAAACCACATATAGCATTGAGATGAAAATGTAGGGTCCTTCAGTTAAATAACTTTCTCAAAAGTTTTTCATTATAAATCCATAACTTTCTGACAAGTTTGAAAATGTCACCGTTTAACAGAAGAATGTCACTTCCATACACAAGAATGCCTAAAAACTTGTCAGAAGGTGATAGGTTTAAAAAAGCACTTGTCAGGAGGTCATTTAGCTAAATAACAGTGAATGCACCACTAGTAGAAAGTAAAGTACGACAATTATATGGATCTTTTCTGATGTCCCAAATATGTAAATCAAGCTGCAATTTGATTATTCTGAATCCTTTTACTTACGAATATGGATATATAACGAATTTGACCAAATCATTTTCAAGCAGAATCAAGATTCAAACCACCCAAAATCTAGATCCGGGATTCTGTAGTTCGATAACATCCAGCCAGATAAACAAGGCCTGTGTAACATAAACACAAGAAACAAACACAAACATAACTACCTTTCCATCTTGGTAGATATATGCAGATGCTTCAATGTAAGCTACAGCTTGATACCTGGAAAACACATATTTTCACATATTTTGAACAAAAACTGAAGATTTATAAGCAATTACATAAGAAATATCTTCCCAAGGAGAAGTTACTTAAGTATCTTATAGACTTTATAGATACAACAATTACTGCATCAGAATCATAGAGACATACTCAACAATTATCAACAAAAACCAGCCAGCATATATACATTTAAAATACATAATTTACCCAAGATTAAGAAGACCGGAGACTGTACTGATGCTGATGTCAAAGTCCACCTTGGGTTGAATTACAAAATCCCCTTCTCTTATTGGCTAATACAAAGAAAACAAAGAATTCTCAAGAGATCAGGAAACAAGCAACAAAAATAATTTATGAACGAAGAAAAGTAAGAAAACTTAAAACCCATGAAAACTCATAAAACCAAAAATCAAATTAAAAATTTGACATAAATTTATCACCACAGACCTCTCTTATCAGCAGCGCGAACCTCCCCTCACATATTCTCACCCTCATACAGTCGCTCTCTGTTAGCTGCCCACTAGATGGAATTCCAGAAAGCCTTAAATATATATCAATAAAATTCTGAGCCGAGCTACAAATCTTTGCAGGATCAAGCAACTTCAAAATATCTTGATAAGCCACCTGTATCCAGAAAATCATGACAATTATTCAATAATTGTGGGTATTTAATATTTTTACTGCTTTTGCTGAATTCCAAAATGAACTTACTTGTTTGTTGCTTTTTAACACAAACAATGAGCTCTCTGGGGAAAGCACCGGATCAAAATCATTACGGATTTTTAGCTGCAAGATAAAAGATGATCATAAAGTTTTTAATGCGACTAGACATTGGAAATCCTGAAGACTGCTAATCTGTTATGTACGAAATAACTATAAGTTCTATCGATTAGCCTCAAATGAACTAACATGAGCATGAACGAGGTGTGGTTCAATGTGTAGCTGGAACATAGGAAACACTGTCGTCATGATCTCGTTTTGAGACATAAAGCATCCCGCTCTACTTTTGTCTCTGTGAACTCGAGAAATGAGATGCGAATGAACACCTCCAACCTGCATTTTTTACAATGGTTGTCTCTTAGTTATAAAGCCATGCTCGTTTTACGAAAAGAAACAAGTTAGTAACAATCAGCCACAAGAAAGCCTTAGTCACGAGCTAATCTTACAACAGCCACCCAGAGGTCCAGCGACTTTCTGATATCAGGGTGCAAAGCGTAGACACCTTCAATTATCACCTGCTCAGATAATCACTATTGTTATATACGCATAGATATGTGAAGGCTGAGAAAGCAGATTTGACTTTATCAGTTTATGCTCCTACCTATTATCTGGATATACCAAGAAAGATGTATGGTGTATTTTTATCATGAATATCATGTATTTTCATTATGAATAAATTTTGTCATGAATATCTATCACGACATTCATCATGAATGATTTTCATTACTCAGGGTTATTCACCATGAATAATACATGAAACAGTTGGTTTCCCAATTCTCAACATGTTTATGGTTCTCATTTTAAATCCTACTTGGTTATATATAACAAACTGTCCCCGTCAACGATGTCAAACAAACATGATGATCAAATATAAAGGACTGCATGCTTTGAAGCTTCTGCTAGCAAAGCAAATTAAGGGGTTGTTTGGTTGGTTTTCCATTAAGTCCTGTATGGATAAAGTTGTCTGTAGATTGAGAAGGTTTTCTTTGGGAGGGTTTTTTCATATATGGAAGGAGCATGTTTTTTAATTGGAAGGGGCAGGTTTGGAAAAAAAACTTGGTTTTCTGCATAAAGCTCCCTCCTAGAAGCTTACTGAATAAACCACTTTCAATACCATTAAGACACCACCAAATAGTCATGTATAGGTGACCGAATAAGCTGTGAGTCCCATTAAGCTCATTAAGCTGCAAACAACAGGCCCTAACTAAGCAGTATCTTCTAATGCTTCCCTTGTTCATTTGTTCTTTCTTGTTCCATTTGTTTTCATGCTTCTCTCTTGTTTCACTATTCTTTTTCTTATTTCTTTATCACATCTTTCGGGAAGCAACACAGACAGGGTAAGTGACTAATATGTTAGTTTTCAAGATATACCACTCCACAATCTTCAGAAACTTCAAGTTCTTTATAGCCACTGCGAGCACCACTCTCCAAATCGAATACAGGTACTTTTGCTTTCCGACCTCTTCTGATATCACTGATATTCTGCAAACAAACAACTCAATTACAAAAAGCAGGAAAGTGTCACGATACGATGAGAACCAAGTGAAAATTCAATTAATTTCAAGTTGACTAAGCAGAAAGTCAATTTCATTCGACTAGGAGTCTGTAACTACAAAAACAAACAACCCAAATACAAAAAACAGCAAGAAAAACAACACAAAGCAGCTTCTCATCCCACATGATCCAAATGCTAAACAAAAAGAATCAAACTTTTAGTACCTTTGTGAGTAAAGCCAGATCAAGCGATCTGAAGTCATCATACTTGAAGTCCTTTACTTGCTCAGACTTATAATAGCTTTCAAGGGAAATGACTTCACAACCAACAATATTTGCCATTTTACGAGCCAAACTAGTTTTTCCTGACCCACTCGGACCTCCTATAAGAATACCATGTCAGGTTAAATTTCCATTAAAATAAAGCGATATGCATATATACCTATAGAGGGAGGTTCATGGGAAAATCCCCAAAAAAAATGAAAAACTAAGGAACACCATAGTAACCATTCATCTGAACGGTATACACATATGCATACAAGTAATTGAAGCGGTTTCTTGGTTTTTATGCACGTGTTCTTGTTATGCACATGTGCATACGGGACCAATTGCTTACAAATTACTTGTATGCACATGTGCATACCGTCCATATGAAGTTTACTAGGGTGTTTCTTAGTTTTTCATTTTTTTGCGGTTTTCCACTGAACCGGACCCTACAAACACACACACACACACATATATATATATATATAGAGAGAGAGAGAGAGACCAATTCCGACTATAACTGGCAGGCCCTTGTGCTCCAACAAAGCCTGATGAAAAGATACATTGTATCTCGTTAGCAAGTCATTAAAGATAACTACTGAACTTTCCTAGATCCAAAGATTAATTGTTATGTTCTATAATATTTAACAGTTATTTGAAATTCTATATTCTATTCTTTAATATATTCATATTAATTATGAATAGCGAATATGAATAGCTTAATAGTTAATAGCAAAGATTCTAAGAGTTTATTGAATTCCTATGCATGTCGAATCTATGTTATGTGAACCTGCTTAGCTCAGAGGTTAGAGCATCGCATTTGTAATGCGATGGTCATCGGTTCGATTCCGATAGTCGGCTTTTCTCTATTTATTTTATTCGATGTTTTACATGATTGATAATGCATCTTTGAAATCAAAGAATATTGAAAAAAAATGTCTTCCTCTTGTGGCAAAAGCCATTGATTACCCTTTGAGAAAGCATCTCAAAATGCTTACCTGTATTGCTTGAACAGCAAGAAGCAGTCCCCTGTCCAGATCAAAAGAATCAGGCATTGGGGCAAGCTGCAGCGTATCCCTGAAAGAAGAAGGATCTGTATATGCTTGATGAGAGGAACCAACACATATGTGGATGCATTTAATATGGAAGCATTTCATTTACTTTTGGGTAAAAGATACATACCAATGGAAGACCCATCGACAACTGAACCATCTGATATGAAACGCCATGGAGCTAAGACTGGCTCCACTTTGGATTTGGTGGGGGATCGAGTCCATGGTTGAGATATATCATCATCCCTGTTGACAAGTTCTGGACGAATGCGAAGGGGCTTTGGAGCAACAATTGGTGCTTCTCTATGGATGCCTGAAGATATGCTAGGCAAAGGAGGGGGAGTATTAAGGCGTGGAACACCTGCAAGACACAAATCAGTTAGAAAGCAACAACTTTCAAAGAACTAACCAAACCAATTATAACCAAATATATCTCACTCGAAAGTAGGGTCCGGAAGGTAGGATGTGCACAGTATGTTCTAAAAAAAGTTACCTTGGCTGTCAAGAATCATTTCAAGATACGATTTAGTGATCCAGGGCCCAGTGATGCCCAGCCTTGATGCCTCTGATTCAACCATCTACGCAAAAGAAATGCACCCACTATGAACATCAGAACCAGCTCTAAACATTAGCAGGATGTGGAAAATACATCACCAGTCAACCCTTCAATGAGATTACAAGAAGTTAAAGGGAAAATATATCATGCATGCCCAACAGTTTAAAAAACAAAAACAAAAAAACCTTGAAAAGGACAAAGTAAGAGGATTAAGGACATACTTTTCTATCTCTGCCCCTGAGCACTAGGTATGTTTCATCAAGAGTGTCTATTGTCTCCAAGGATATTGAAAGATTTCCATAAATAATTGATTTAGATGCCCTTTTATAACTGACAACGACGTTGTACCCCAAAGCCAGCAAACCACCCAGGGTCATTCTTCCGACCTGTTACAATTTTACAGAAGAAAGTGGGTGAGAAAGAAAAAGAATCAAAACTATCAGATAAGAACAACGAGAAACAAACAAAGGATAATTATCTGAATTATCTTCATTTGGGTTTGTGTACGGAACTTCTTTTACCCCATTTTACAAAATGTGAAGCAAAAGGTCAAATAAGAAAGTGTGCACTTCGAGTGTACCAAAATCAAAGCTGCTGACAGGTTTATTTACAGAATGCTACACAATATATTCTATGTTCAAGTGAGATTTCAAGGATAAGTGTGTTATGTGAGCTGCTAGTGTATGTTTGATGATAAAGCAATAATATTGTGCACTACATTATCTACCATTTAAGATGGAATAAGGAAGGAGCTGTTTATGCACCTCGAACTCGGCTTTTGGCCGAATAATGAAATTTTTGTCGACAATTCTTTGGTCACCCAGTGAAAGATAGTATCTGATACCACTCTGCCGCACCTTAATCCAATCGTTAACACCTGCTACCTCACTTGCAGATGGAGGCCTCAAGTACATCTCAATGAAGCTGAAAGAAAGATCATTTGCACATTTGGTGGTGACAAGGCATGATCAGAAAAGAATTGGGAGAAGATGATTGTGTAAGTTGATGTTGTAATAGAAAAGGCTACCATAAGAAGGAAGTGTAACAAGTTGGTGACTCACTTATCAATCTGTGCTTCCTTCTTCAGAAAAGGGTAAGCTGATTGTCCACTTTCTGACTGATACATCACCATGACCAATTAAAAGGCTCAAACAAAAAAATCAACAGAAAAGGTGGACGCATTTCATAGAAAATGCAAAATCTACCAAAATAAACAGCTATATGTATCACTGACTCACATCTACTGGTAAAAGCAAGCCATTTGAAGGTTATTAGAAAGGGAAGAAGGACAAGGAACTTGTTGACCAGAAAAACAGACCCCACATAATAGCTATCCTAACTTTCGGAAAGTTACTGCAAGCAAAGAAGATATGCAATGCACATAAATAGGATACCTCTAGCATGCATTCTGTTGATATTGGGAGTTCAGGACCATCAATAATTTTTTGGACCAACAGCAATTAGATGCTTTATTTCCTCTAAGTTTAAGTGATTCCTTGCTGAACTACTTCAGATAAATAAATCCCTTATAGATCAAGATTCTCATTGCCAGCCACACTAATAAAACAGTAGAACTGCTAATTTATAACATATTAACTTGTGAACCCTTGAATCCATCAAAAAAACAAAAGGCACTATAACTTTTCACGGAATGAGTAAAAACACACTAACAGAGAGACGTCAACACAAGGAATGCAAATAACCAGTAACAGCAACAGCTCTCATAATTCACGTATATCCGGACCAAAGGAAGAACATGATTCTTGATCTGGTGTCAATTCACATATAAGTGAACTAGAATCATTCTTATATATCTTTAACATGGTATGACTTCCTTGCTTTTGAATTAAACAAAAATCAGCAATGATTCAAGCATAGAAGAAATTCTAACAATAATATCAGATTGCTGTAGAAAACTTACATGGACACTAACACAAACCCATCTCAATTCCCAACACATTTAGGCATATGAGAAAGCAGGCAGTCAGATGGAAGACAAGATCCATATCAGGAAGGGACTGACTTAAACTTGTAAACAGGTCCATAATAGTTTGTAATGAGATAAATAAACCACTTGTTTAAGACTTAAAGCAGTAAGGTCACAATGCAACAAAAAAGGGGCGGATTCTTGAAGCAATATTCTGACTAGCAAAGGCAGGTTTCAATCATATATGAACTCCAAGACTACCCAAGAAATTTGATGTAAGATTAAGACCAGGAAGGTTAAGAAGGCAGACCTCAGTTTTACATTTGAGCTTGTAGATTGAATCTCTAAATGATGCACCAAAACTATTATTAATTCTGATCTGCAGAAAAACAAACCTTTATCAGGAAACAGAGGATATAAGATGAGGTTGGAACCTTAAATGTCCTACCTGTGCATGGTGAAGATCTGGTTCAATATGCTTCCTAAACAACGGGAAAATGCTATCAATTAGATTGTCCAATGAGCAAGGATCTCCAATATCATATTGCACTTTAGAAAGTAAACTAAAATGAACACCACCAACCTGGTACCACAGAAGAGAAAAGGTGTAGAAATTCATATGAGAACCTACTATTATTAGTTGAAGCTAAATTATTATCACAACAGGAATGAACGCTAGAGATATATAATCACATATTTAGTTAACTATAAGTTGTATTTCACAGTTGTAGACTGTAGCTGGCAATTTACTTAATTGCTGCAAATTTTGCATATAATAATGACACCAAAAATAATTACCACTGCTACACGAATATCTAGCAGTGAGCGTAGTCTTGCATGGAGAGCGTATGTACCGTCAACTATCACCTGAAACAAGGTAGGTACAAAATATAAGAGCAACCAGCTAGTCTACATGTAAAATGGCAATTATGTGTGTACTCACCACCCCAAAAATACTCTTGATCTCTTTAGTTCCAATGCGTTTTTTTTGTTGGAAATCAAACACCGGTGTTGATATATCTTTGCCTTTCAACAAATCCTATGTAAAACCGACGAGTTTTCAGTAATCATGAAGTTAGATAATTATTTCTTCAGAATTTAAGAGAGTAAACATATGCATTAATCTTGTAACATTCATTTGAAGATAAGCTTGAAGTGCCAAAGAAAGCATCCCAACTTCAAAATAGCATGTCATAGAATTATACCAAAGAAATTGGGAAGGTTCGGAACTTCAATTGGATGGTAAAAAAGTGGTCAAAATTCAACTAGGATTGATCATGGCATGCAAAATTCAAGTTTCAAGTACCATACACCCATTTGTTGCGATAATTATGGTATGAACGTTAACAAAATAAATGTAAAAAATTAAAGAACCATGTTAATCTTTTTAAGAAAGACCTCCATTACTCCATACCTGAAGATTCTGTACTAGAAGATCAAAATCTAATGAATTCAAATCATTCCCTTCATCAGCTCCGATGCGGTAGTTTTCCATTGATATGACACTACAACCAATGACCGATGCCACCTTCTCTGCCAAGCTGTAGACATCATTTAATGTGCATGTTTATGTCCATTCCAAACACGTTGCCAACAGATCTTAACACGACACAAGTGGATACATTGCAATTATAGGTATTAGGTATATTACTATTACCTCGATTTACCAGATCCACTAGGACCACCAATGCCAACGGCTACAATACCTTCTTTTTTTGATCTAAGCTCTTGAATTGATTTAACCAACAGGTAATAGCCACGATCAAAAGACTACAAAAGAACCAAAGCACAATTTAGTTACTAGAAAAGTTGTATGTTTACAGTCTGCAAATCTAGGCATGCTCCTGATTCTGAACATCATAACATTCAGAAAGAAACCATAAATTGAAGCACACTGATACCACACAATTAACCACCACTACAGTGGTACTTAATGGAAACTACTTGCGTATGGTCAATAGGTACAACAAAATCAGTTCGACTTTTCAGTTTGAAACTTGTTTTCAGAAAGAAAAAGTAAAGTTCAGATTTAGATTAACCAAAAACTTTCCAAATGTGAAAACGGTAAGGACGGAATTGGTGGAATTGGTACAGAATGACGCAGCAAATGCAAGTATCGAACTTTTCTAAATATTTACGGGAAAAGTTCACTTCAATGACAATTTGGGAATCAAAAATTAATCCCCTTTAAATTCATATACGAAAGTTTCTCTCTTTATGAGGAACATGGAGAGATTATTTCGCAAACCGGTCAAAAAGGCCAATAAATTCGAACAACAAACTTGTTTTAATCGGTCGGAATCCAAACACAAAAACCAAGAAATTAATTAGGCAATTTCATCAAACAATTGGCATGCATAATGAAAACCCAAAACAAGAAAAATTGAAATCAACCTACCGCATGAAGGGGAAGAGATTGAAGAATAGATGGAGACGATGAGGAAGTAGAGGGAGCTTGTTGGTAGTAATCCCGACCACCTTCTTGTAAAACTCGGTGCACTACATCATCATCCATGATGATAAGCAACAAGAAGAAGAAATTCTCTTGTGGGTTGGTGATATCTGAAATTTCTTGTTGTTGCCAGAAACTAGAAATGAATAAGAGAGAGAAAGCGAGAGGGAATCTTGATGAAGAGGATTGTTATTTAGTAAAGGTTTTGTGTATACGCATAGTCCATGTTTTTTCTACTCCAACTGCATACTTTGATCTCTGTAAACCCCCCTTTTCACTTCAAGATTTTTCCGCATGATAATTATCCTTTTCTTGATTGGTTCTTTAAAACAGATTTATTACAAACAATCAAAAAGATACCGAGAGAACCTAAACAATCAAAAAGATACCGAGAGAACCTAAACAATCGAAGAATCATGGAAAAAAACATGTACCAAAATGAACGTTGAGTTAAAAGATAATAAAATGATTTTTGTTGTATTTTGCTTATTTCTAATTTAATAGTTAAGAAGAAATATTTGCATTTTTAAGTAAGTTAGGGGTTGTTTTTTTTTTTTTTTTTTTTTTTTTTTTTTTTTTTTTCTGTTAAGACCTGTATGGATAAAGTTGTTTGTATGATAATAAATAAGTTGTTGTTCGGTTGCAGTGCTGAATAAACACTTTGAATGATATATATATATGACCATTTTACCCCTTCCATTTTTTTAGCTTTTTCATTAACAAAAAGAATCAATTTCTTGTTCGTTATCCAAGTTCCCAATCAAATTTCTTCTTCCTATGAACATACACAATTACAAAAGAAAAAGGATGAGGAAGCATAGAAGGAACAAAAACAATTAGGGTTCCGATGGTGGAGAGAAATCGGCAGCAAGTTCTGATTTTGAGGCGGAAAGAGGGACGAAATTAGGGTTTCGATGTTGGAGAGAAAAGGAGGCAGCGGGTGCGGCGGTGATGGGAACGGGGGGTTGTTTGCAGTGGGGTTTCTTGGTGTGGGAGGATGAAGAGAGACCTTGGGTGGTGGGGATTATGAGTATTGTTGTTATGACGGTGGTGGTTCTGATATGGTTTTGAGGTGTTTAAGGTTGGCAGTGTGGAAGAATGCCATCACCAAGATAAGGAAGGAGGTGAGTAGGGTTTGAGGGATTGTGGATCAAAAGGGAAAAGAAAGAGAAGAGTTGAGCTGAGCGGCTAGGGCTGGAACCAGTGGAACGCCAGCGATGGGGGAGGAAGATGGCTATGGAAATATCAAGTGAAGTGGAGCTGGAACCAATAGAGCTGAGTTGAGCTGCTGTTGTCTCCTCTCCCTCATCTTGAGCAATGGTGGCTGTAGAGTTGGACTAAAAAATAAGGGGTGAAAACTATAGGGTAAGGGCAGATGGGGAAATTAAATGGTTGAGTGTAAATGACACATAGTTTCTAGCTGACCAATTAAGCTCTCAGTTGAGCGAATTAGCCGCATCCGAACAACTTTCTACAGCTGAGCGAATAAGCTATAAGGCTTATACAGCTCATTAAGTCACAAACGAACAACCCTTTAGTTATCAATCTAACGATGTTGATAGTTTTCAGATTGTTTTTTCAAAGTTCTCTTCTAATCTTAACCCTAAATAAATACTAGTTGTTTACAAAATGGAAAATTAATTCAATTTCTTATTTTTAAAAAGTCAAAAAATTTAATGTTATTCATCTAATTTGAAAGTATTATCGTCATTTAATTTTTATTAATTTAAAAGCCAATACTTCTATATGCACAATAATTACTGGTTTTTTTAGTAGTTTGTTTACTTTAAATTTATTATAATTTAAATATTTTAAATTCAATTAAAATAATAACATAATATATTTCAATTTTAATGATGCATTAATTAACCCTCTTTATTTTATGATTTTTCACTTTGCATTTCAAGCTATTGCATTATTAAAATTCTGTCTATGTATTTTATAATATGGTGTGTGTATATATATAATAATTTTGAATTTAATAATTATATTATTTATTATTATAATATTATTAAGGAAATTAAAAAAACAAAAGATGATGCGATACTTGACTTTAATGAGATGGGGTAATGGAGTGCTTGGAAAACCGAATAATTAACCGTTAACATTGTGTAATCCTTTTCCTTGTCTTTGGAAAGCAGATTACATGGGACGAGACGAGATAAAAAAAATAGTTTCATGTTTAGCATGTCATGGACAAAAAAAATAAGACGAGGTGAAACTATTTTTAGTTTTTATGGGACAAATCTTGAGATTTTTTGTTACACCAAAAAGGGTGAAACAACATGGGACAAAATACAAAATTACTTTTTTACCCTCAAATAAACCTAACGGTTTCAAAGCTTCCGGCCACTATCTTCCATCATCTCTTCCGGCCAATTCGTTCAATCTCCGACAACCCCACCTGAGTTCGTGACTTCCCCCACTTGTCATGCCCTGTGAACACAACCGTTTCCTTCTCCGGTTAAACGGGGGCATATCCCTTCCAAATTCCGTTATGAGCATCGCTACATTTAACTACATCGTATACTTTTATTAAATTAAATTAAATAAGAATATTTTTAATATATTTTTTAAAATAGATAAAATAAAGATTATGTCTTACATTTTATTATAAGAGAAATTCCGAGTTTAATGAATTCAAAATTCAAATGGAAGCAAACGTATTCTTTATGTGCAACCTTATAGGTTTACATGCTCCTTAGCGGTATCCCTATGTGATGTGTGTCGTGGCATATAATAACTTACACCTTGCAATGAAGATCAAAGATTACGAACATATCGGATATTCAGGTTTTTAAACACTTTCTACATATACATAATATAGGTATGTCAATATTTATGCATAATGGTATAAATTTTTTGTATTCCTTACAATATACCGGAATTTGACTAAATGGATTAAGATTAAATCCTATTTATTAAAAAACTTAAATCAAAATGACCACGATATATATATGTTCATTTATATAGAGTCAGATTAATACAAGAACATAAACCAAATAATAGAACAAGAAAACGGTCGAAACATATGTGATTTAAGAGATTTTGTCTGCGACATGAGGTCACCACGTCGCTCGGACACTTTTGCAATGACCGCTAGTGTAAAACCCCAATTTAGCAGCGGAAACGAGATCTCCAACCACAACAATATAACTCTAATAAATCTTTCATTAAATCCAAAAATGACTTAGTTCCAAAAAAAAATGCCTCAAAAGATAAAAGCAAAACTTTGACAGAACTTCGGGGGTGTTGGGGATTGCTTATATGAAACAACTTATATTTTTCTATAAAAGCACTTATCAACTTATTATAAGTCAGAGGGGTTTAACTTCTTCAAAAACTTCTTGTTACCCTGTTTGGCACCGGTATAAGTTGTTTATCCAAACACTCAAAAGTGTTTATTGTCGATGCTATACCGAAATAAGTCAATAAGTTGTTTTTATAAGCAATACCAAACACCCCCTTCAAATCCACATGATTATTGTAATTTGGATTGGAAATTGAACTTTTAAATCAACAACTTCCAAATGATTCTCTCTTCACGAAAACCCCTGATTTCCCCCTAGCTAAATATATTGCCGTAAGAAAAACACAGCGTGAGCTGAAAAGTCCAGTACAGATTATGAATACAAATTAAGTAAATCATAACATACTTAAAAGATCAAATCCAAATGAGGTGGAAAATAAAGTTTCAATGTTTCTCCAAAATCACCACCGAACTCTTGAGTAATCAAGAATTCCAGGCTGAAACAACGAGGGATTGGGTTGCACATACCGAGTTTCCTACACGGAGCAAAAGCATAACATATGATATCCAAAGAAATCATAATACATTGGATTCATGACTCCACGTGTATATGAAATCAGTGGCATGTATGACACTACATTGCACACCGATAACAATGCTCCAAAATCCTAGGGTTGACACAAACGCCTTCTGAATAAAATCACCCATCATACCATGGTCATCTCTCATCAGATTACATAATAAAATCGAAAAGAGACACTGTGGAGTGTGGACTAATCACACCACCGCGAACAGTGTCACGCCACTGACGCCATAATTACATGTATGTAGTACCCATACAGGTGGTTAACTCGGTATTCCTACTCCCCAAACTATCTAACAAAGGGTTCTATGTGTACATGGATGAATATAAACCAACCTCAACTCCAAGTGTATTCATCATGCATCAAGATCTTATTAAATCGAAATATCAAAAACGTAATACGCCACATAAATAAACTAACCACGCAAATCAAAATAAAGATATCAAATATCAAGGTTTTGAACAATAACGAATATGACACGAGAATAATTTGAGGATTGAAATTTCATATATCAACCAACAAAGAAATTGAGACAAATGATTCACAAGAAATGTCATAATATAACATATATAAACGAGTAGAGTGTCGCTGAAAGAAGTACGGATATCCGTACCTGGCAGGCTGGCACGATATCCGACAGTGTTAAAAGCCGCTAAAATACTCGAAAACTACTAAAAGCCTTTACCTATGCAGCTACGCGTAATACCCCAAGATACACAACTTTATTGATTAGCATTACACCGGTACAAATTCCTTAATGCTACAAAGTAAAACCTAATTATTGGTCAAACCCAAAAATACTAATTTTCTGAAACATTTTAAAAAAACAAAATAAAAAATATGAAGATCCTCAAAAGCTAAACTTAAATATTATTCTTAAAAATGAATTAAATAAACACATATTATAATTCTTTAATCGGGATAGCAACTACTAAGGGGTCGTTTATCTAATCACTTACCCGGTAAACACTTACCGGTAAAATTCAACACTATTGCTTACTTACCAGGCAAGATTTTATCACTAAAACGCATCGTATGAAACAATTTATCCCGGTAAGCGCTAACCATGGTAAGAGTCCTTGTCCTCACTTACCGGGTAAGACTCTCGATTATTGCTTTTGCTCTTACCAGGTAAGATTCTTAGTCTTTACCGTATTCATCCGGTAAAGTAAATTGACTTGGTAAGTGCTTACCTAGGTAAGCGTTTGGTAAACGACACCTAAATCTTCAAAATATAATTGTTATGGACCTTTTGTAAAATATTTTCCGAAACAGGGACTAAAACTGTCAAAACAGAATCCCTATTTTAGACATATGAATCTGAAAAACAATTTCAGTACCAGAGGCTGGACTGCAGTTAATGAAACCTTAGGGGTTAAAGCTGTTCAAGTAACATTCTTTTACTGCAGGGAAAAAAATAAAACATATCTAAAAATGAAGGACTAAACTGTCAATAATCAAAACTTGGCCATGAAGCAACGTCTTCTTCACCTGGCTCCAAACCCATTTTGCTTTCTAGAACACATTTTCAAACCAACAAATTTTCTATGTATTTTTAATACAAAAATCATATTTACAAAAAGTCAACCTTGATTGCCTCCACCACAAATTACCACCGATGATTCCATCTGCGACAATGGCACTGAAGATTCATCAAACTGGCAATAATGCTCGTAGCTAATCCAACACCATTTGAAACCCTAATTTCTTTCGCATGTCCGCATTGAACTAGCAACAATCATAAACAAATAGTATTCAATCTATGCAAACAAACTAAGTCAATCTTGCTATTTCTCAAACTAGATTGAGTGTTGTAGCTTTCTACTCACATGGAAGCTCGTGACGTGTCAACAATTTTCATGGCTGAGACAGTCAACCTAGGATAATTCGTTAACATGGAGTAGGTTGTCTTTGCCAACTCTTTATTCGATCAAATCAATTCTTTTGTCTTGTGTGCAAAAAGAAGCAAAGACAATAACTTAATTCATACAAACGACTTGACGATTGTTTGATTTTTTTTCCTCCATTAAGCCAACTGTATTGATTATTAAGTTGTCTGTATAAACTAAGATAAATTGTTACTTGTTTTTCTATCACAAATAAACAATTTAAATGACATAAATTATGAATTTAATCCTTAACAACACATTATTAAATTTTAAACATATAAAAGAAATTTGAATTAAGTATTAAAAAAATAATATTTGAAACATACAAACAAAATCAAGCATTAGTTTATGGCTTTTATCTACAAGGAATATAAATTGCATAATACAAGAACAAGAAGGTGTAGAAAGAGAGTATTTGTTTTCTTCTAAAAGTTGGCTTAATGGGTAAAGACACCATAAGTTGGCTGATTAAATTAAACCATAAGCTTTGCTTTAATAATAATCTATAAAATTTGTAATCAAACAACTCACTAACGTATATTAAGGGGCCGTTTACCAAACACTTACCCGATAAGTGCTTACCGGTAAAATTTAACACTATTATTTACGTACCGGGTAAGATTTTAGTCCACCAAAACATCGTATGCAACAATTTAACCGGTAAGCGCTTATCATGGTAAGAGTTGTCGCCCTCACTTACCGGGTAAGATTGATGGTCCTTGTTTCGCTCTTACCGGGTAAGATTGATGGTTCTTGTTTCGCTCTTACTGGGTAAGATTTTTAGTCCTTACCATATTCATCCGGTGAGGTAACATAATTTGGTAAGCACTTACCCGGGTAAGTCTTTGGTAAACAACCCCTAAATGAATTAAGTTTATAAGAGCATCTCTAACATAATGTCTATAATTTTTCTAAACAGAGAATGAAAAGTTAAAATGTCTAAAAAACATGTACATTTAACTCCTATAGACTCTTTTAAGGTTTCAATACAACTTATATTATTAAAATACTAGAAGAGTACTCATACAATGCAGTAAAATACATATTCATTTTAATGTTTCGTTTTATTTTTTGTCTTTGTTGATATAACAAGATTTATTTGGTTTTGAGAAAGATAATGTTTTTACTTTTGAATAAAAATATATTTGAAGATATCATAAAATTTTGAAAAAAATATACCAATATTAATATCAAATTAATTATTTAAAAGTTTTCGTTTTTTTGTACAATTTCTTTAATTCAAAATTTTATTATAATTTAAATTGGGTCTAATAACGAAGTAATTTATTTTTGGCTTAACAATATAACTTTTATAAAGATAATGATTCTGTTAGAACTCAATGAATATTTTAATTATATTTTAGATTTATTTATTTAAAATAAAATATTTATCATGTATTTGATTATATTTATTTGTAGTTAGTTATACAAATTCAAAAATAAAGCTTTAATAAGTTATACTTAAGCATAATTTACTTGTAATCTTAAATTTTAAGCAATATGCATAAAAATGGTTTTTAAATTTTTTTGTCAAATACTTTATAATATAGTATAAATTCTATAAAATTATCATTACAATAACGTAGTAATTTCCATGTTAAATCCTCATACACTCGTCATCATACTTTCTTCATTGCAAATACAATTTAATTTAAAATTATACTGTTATATTATAAAAATATAATGGAAAAAATCAATTTTATATAATTGTTGTAATTATATATTTGATCAAAATAAATTATTAATCACATATTTATATTATTATAACCATAACAGGATATTTATTTCCATTCTATTTACTCAAATCAGTTAATAAACAATGAAAAAAATGATAATCCTTCTAATTACTATTAATTTAAATTATAAATTCATTCATCTGTTTATATAGGAATTATTGGTTTCTTTTATTATAACTTTACTAACGATAACTTCGCTAAATCAATAACTTTTATTTTTTTACATTTTTATGTCATTTCTATGTAAAATAATAATAAAGTTATATAAATATTATGATTTGAATAAAAATAAATAAAATGTAAAAAGAAAAATAATATAAATACTAGAATAATATAGCTTTTAAATGGATGATGGTGAAGAGAGCACAATTGCATCCACAAGTATACTACTATTAAAATCATAAAAGAAAAAAGAAAAAAGAAAAAAAAAACAGGTGCTTCCACTGAATGACTGAAAGTCAACGCTATTTCTTAACCCCACTACCTTTTGTTTGTCTTTTGTCTTTTGTCTTCTGCCCATTTTAACCAAACGATATGACCTCATCATGCGTCATGCATTCTACTATCGTACGCCACCATTATCATCCCCACCCCTCGTTTTATCTAATTTGTGGTGCATTGGTGGAAGGATGGTTGATCGTTACTGAATGATTTAGTATAGAATAATTAAATGATCAGAATAATTAAGAGATTTTAATGATATCGTATATTATGAAATATAATTATTTAGTAATTGTTTAGAATAAAATTAAGACGTTAAATAATTTAATTCCAAAAAATATAACGGAATCCAATGAAACAATATATTGAGACCCTTCGAAACATACTCTTTCTCATTATGACAGAATCATAAAACGGTGGACCATGTCATACTCTTCCTACACCTAGGCCTACTCTTGAAAATAGCCTCGGATTCTACAAAAAGTTTCCCTGCAAAATCTTATTTTATTAATATATTTACGTTTTGCAAGTCTATCATATGATTTTACGAAAGGGTTTTATGGCATGATATGTAGACCTATAAATCGTAAAAAAGGTAACGGAAAAGAATGTGACGGAATTTTTTGACAAAACCATTAGGTATTTTATAATAATTTATAAAAAGTTTTTATTTTATCTTCGAATATGGTTAGTTTGTGAATATTTGTTTGATAAAGGATATTTTTTCAAATCCTTTTTGACTATTTTTTCAAACGGCTAGACGAGGGTTCATGATAAGGTAAGTGGGGCAGCAAACATTGGAGCCTGTCTTTATCAAATGTAGTTCAAAGGGTGCGCACAATAAGCATTCGCATCATCCATCATATTCTTCTTGGGGAGTATATATACACACCCACACGCTCTTATACTGACATTACATTGACTTTCTTCACCATCTCTCTCTCTAAAACCTACTTTCTCTCTCTAAAACCATTTCCTCTGCTCCATGGACGATCTGCCGTCCGGTTACCGGCCGAACGTCGGCGTTTGTCTCATCAATTCCGATAATCTGGTGATTTAATTTCGTTTTCTGTAATTTTTTCATTTGCTGATTATACGATTCCAGCTCCAGAGGCTAGACTCTAGATTTTGTTCGTAGATGTTCATACTGTGCACTACTGCACTGTGGTTGATTTTTGTGTTGTAGATGCTGGACTGGGATACGAGATCAATGATTTTGTTTCACTTCTTTTTGGATTCTATGGATGTTATATAGTTATATTTAAGATAACGATCTATTGTTACTGTGGTCTGTTTGTATAACTGAAGCAAAATTGGCATCGCCTTAATTTCGAAGCAGAGATATGTTTCTGATTCGGATTAATTTTGGAAACAGAAATTAACCGATATGATTTGATATTTCTTTCGAATTCATGGTCTAACTTCTAGCTAGGAGAAACTTGTAGCATTTCATCCATGGAAATGAAGAGGAAATAGTTTAATAGGTTTATTAGGTGTATGATGCGTTGATAATTCTATTTAAACAATGTTTATTAATAAAAAAAAGGGGTATGATGATGAGTCTTCTCATTGAAGTTACATTTAAACTAGTCTTATTATTAATCTATTGATTTATTTATTCAACTTCTTTATAATTTTCTAGTCGTGTGCATGTGACGGCCTTGTGGCTTTGTATTGGATCTGTTGCTGATATTTTAATGGAAATTCGGTCTGCTTCGATGGATTGAATATTTAATTTGCTCCGAGTTGTTATTGATCACCTCTAAGCCAGTCAAACCTGCTCGTTTCTCACGAAATTAAATTGATTTGGTTATCAAGTGATATGAGATTTTGTGGGAAATTTCTTTTCACATTTGGAGATAGATGGGTGTCTGTGATGACTTTGGCAAACATAATCTCACCTTATGACTGCCTTTTATTACCTGCAGGTGTTCGTGGCTTCCAGGTTAAATGTACCAGGAGCATGGCAAATGCCTCAGGTGAGGTTACATTAAAGAAAATACACACGGCCAATATAGCATTTGAACCTTTAACCATTAGGTGTAGAAACTCGGTTAGATACCAGTGGAGTAAAAGATGACTAGTAGGCTGGAATAATGTTTGTGACCATTTTGATTTTCATATTACATTAGACACAGACTTGTGAAAATATATGTGAGCATTTTAGTCTGAGATCCAACTTATGAGGCTTGTATCAACATTAATGTTGAGTTGGAAGTTGCTCTGGATGTCTTTTATGTAAATGGTATCCTTTTATTTCTAAATTCAAAACCATCTGGCTTACCGTCTCTTCATCAAATCCTCTCAACAGCCTTTTACTTGTTGGTCTTTCCTTCATTTTGCTTCAAAATTCCATCTTCCAATAAAATTTATATGCTTGTTTCAAAACGTTGTTAATTAGGGTGGAATTGAAGAGGGAGAAGAGCCGACTTCCGCCGCAGTTAGGGAACTTCGAGAAGAAACGGGAGTTGTTTCTGCTGAAATAATTGCAGAGGTTAGTTTCACTTATTTTGATCTCAAACCCAGTATTCATCAAATGCATAATAGATTTGGATTTTTACTAATCTATCAGCAATATTTTACAATTTGCAGTAATCTGCAAAAAGTTTCATCTAGTGACATCTGTAATTTTGAAAAAATACATAGAATTATGCAAGAAATTTTGAAGTTGAAAGGGGAACTAACGAGGGAGATGAAACCTGTTGCTCAAACTGATTGCTTATTCAGCTTATTCATACATCAAGTGTATCACAGGGTGTTCTTTAAATAATAGCAAATGTGGTTTTGTATACATAGGTTCCCAAATGGCTGACTTACGACTTCCCACCTGCTGTTAAAGCTAAAGTGAATCGTTTGTGGGGAGGAGGTGAATGGCATGGACAAGCACAAAAATGGTAAATAATATAATACAAGCGTCTCTTGTTTTTCTGCATTCTTTATTTCTTTCTTTTTAACTCACCGTAATGGATTGCTTTTGGGAGATATGACCCTAAGTATCTGTATTGACAATTACTAGGTTCCTGATGAGACTAACAAAAGATGAAAGCGAAATCAATTTGGCGAGTGGTGAAGTTGATCCAGAATTTTCAGAGTGGAAATGGGCAAGCCCTGAAGAAGTCGTCGAACAGGTTTCCTTAATTGATAGCATCTGTTTGTTTTCTGCAAGTTCATGTTCATATAAAATATATATGTGTGTGTATGTAATAGGCGGTGGACTACAAAAGGCCGACATACGAGGAGGTTATAAGAACGTTCATGCCTCAGTTGAACGACGGTGGAAAAGCAGCAGCGAAATGCAGGTCGACCAAATGGTGATGCATGAAGAGCATGTCTGTCAAGTAAGCTTTGGAATCCCGAACTATTATCGTTATTATTATTAGGTTGCGCCTTGTACATGAATGTAACGATTAAAACCTTCTCAGATAGGTGTCCATTTATTCCTTCCTAATAAAATGTTGCCTAAATTACCTACACATTCTATTCTTTGGTGAGTTAATTTTTGTAGCCATTCCATTCTTTGTAACCATAGTGTTTGGTGCCAAATTTTGAAAATGTGACGCAAGGCTTTGGCAGCTGAATATAATTCACCAAATTAAATAATGAATCCATGGAATTGGAATTGAAATTGAAATCGAAATCGGAAGGTTACCAAATTAACTTTTATACAAACAGAATCATCAGCCTATTAAACTATTCTTCAATGCTACCTGCATATTGCTGTCTCCGCTAAAAGTCAAAACAAATGGGTCCCTTGCTTTCGATAGCCTCTTAAACTTCAAAATAGGTTGGTGAGGTCAAACATTTTTTAATATTCCTTGTTTTTCCTTCATCTGCACTTTAAAAAATCCCCTTATTGACTGCCAAGGTTTAAATACGATAACTTTGGGCTATCTGCAAAGCAGGATTAGGTATCCAAGTTAATAAAAAAAATCTTGTGGTTTATAAGATTTGATTTTCGTCTTTATGGTTAGTAATTCATTATTATTTTCGTTCTTATAATTTATAACTTATTGCTATTTTGGTCCTTGTGGTTTACAATATTTTTTTTACTGTTTTCATCCTTTGTAATTAAAGATATGAATTAGTTGAGGGACAAAAATAACAATAACTTGCAAACTATAAGGACTAAAATCGTAAATTCTAAATTGTAAGGACGAAAATTGAAATTATTAATAAACCCAGGAAAAATCATAATTTACTCTAATTTCATTTTAATTTAATACAGTAAAGTTTATTTTTGGTCCTTAACGTAAGTCAGTTTTAATGGTTTTTATATCTTAACTTTATTTTTAATAGATTTGTTCCTCATGTTTGACACCTTACAACGATTTGTGTCCCTCTTTTTAACGGTTGTTAACTTTTTCTGTTAAGTCAGGTTAAATGAAGGGTATCTTGGTTTTTTAGATTTTTATCTCGTTTTTTATAAAATATCAAAAATCTTTTTCTACATGGTGCAACATGTTCTAATCATTAACTACCTACTATCTTCACCTCCCCGTGAAACCTTCCCCATCGAACGTGAAGCTCCGGTCATCATCTTTGGCCAAACTTCCGGTTATAGTCTCCATACACAAAAATTTCAAAATCTAAAACTAAATCTCAAATACAAAACAAAATTAAATTGAAAGTTTGTATATATATATCCTTCACATACATATACAAATAAATTCCAAACTCATAAGCAACCATACTCTAACTAAACCAACAATTTATGAACTCTAATAGAGAAGAAACTAAATTTAAACCAAATCCAAACCCCTAATCAATATCGCCGTAAGAGAACTTCCTTCCTAACCGATTTCTTAGGATCTTGAAGAAGGGAAAACCCAAACCAAATATGCTTCTGTTTGTGAGCCATCCTCACCCACTGAAAACCTCCATATATGATTCTGTTCGCAACAACAATTGCTTCCATCCTTATTTTCTCATTAAAGAAACCCAATGACCATTTCCATGTTTTCTAATAAAATCAAGGTTTTTTCTTATGCCAACTATGATGTTGGCTTAAGATGACAATTGTATATGTATAATGTATATGCATTCATGTATTTTTTCTATTACTGTGTTAATGATATTTAACAATTTGTTTAAATTTATATGAAAAGAAGAAAAATAATATATTGATATCTAAAGCTTATAATAAGAACGTAAATACCCTTTCTTTTGCAAACCCTCTAATTGTTACAAATCAATCCAATTAGGCTAATGAATATATGATTTAATAAATATCTCGATTTTTTTATAATTTAAAGTGGTGATCATAATTAATAAACATGATCATCTTTCATAAATAACCTGATCATAATAAATAACTCGACTATAGTTAATGTGTTCTTTTTTTTTTCCTATTAACCTGGATATCCAACCTGCTATGCGAGCCAACTAATCACACAATGACCACCTGCTTCACAAGTAGCTTGGAGTCACGACATTTAAACCTCTATGGCCACAACAGAATTTTTATTTCTCCTTGGATTCGAACTTGAGATCTCCATCCACTTTTGACCTTTCGAGCCAAAACCCAAACCAATCGGATACAACCCTAGAGGCCGACTGTAGTTAATAACAATCAACATGCGTGTAAATGGTGCATGAGGCTCACGTCATGGCATGTTTTATCGAACACCGCCTAAAACATGAACAAGAACAAGAATAAAATGTTGATTTCATTTGGGTTTCACAAAATGAGAGTTTGGGAAAGTTGGCTTATCAAAATATGGATTTTGAAACCACATTGTTTGGTTAATTGGTTTCATTTTGTCATTAGTTTAAATAACAAAAAACGTCTACTAAACCATAAGGGTACTACCTGATTGGTTTGAGCTTAGCTCCAAAGCTCAAAAGTATCAAGAGATCACAGGTTCAAATCCAAAGAGGAATAAAAATCCCCTTGTGGCCACGAAGGTTCAAATGCGGTGACTCCGGGCTATCTACAAAGCAGGTGGTCGTCCTGGGATTAGTCGGCTCGCATAGCGGATTGGATATCCAGGTTAATTAAAAAAAACGTCTACTAACTAGTGGTTATGAACTTATGATAACCCAGTGAGCATACCCTTTTTTTTTGCCAAACTTTACCATGAGACTCTCATCATACCGTCACACACCTACATCTATTAACTGTACGAGGCAACGACAAACAACAATTCTATATTATGCAAATAAAACCTCATGTTTTTGCTTTCTTTTGCATCGATTATCATGGCATCGTTTTAACCGTACCATCAACAACGGTAAATGCTATTTGCAAAATAAGAAACTCACTTGATAGTGCTGATCCTACACAGTTCCTTGTCTTGCTAAGCAAACCTCCTACAAGCTCATTGTTATCCGGCTAAGGTTATTTAACCCCAGTGATGCTAACTATGTCATTATATGTTCTCAGTTGATTAGTCGAATTCCACTTGAATTAGATAATTCGTTACGTTTACTATTGAAACAAAAACACTATGGCAGGGATTACTTATTCTCGTCATTTATGAAAGCTCGTTATGTCCATTGTACCTAAATGTAACACCATTTGAAGATGTTGTCTAAATGGTACCTTCTTGAAATTAGTTTGGACTAAAATATATTAGTTTTCTCAAAGTGTAACTTTTAGAGAAGAAGAAATAGAGAATAAAAAATTGATTTTTCTATTTTAGAGAAGTTGTTGGAGATGCTCTTACCGAATCAAATTCAGCCCGACGTGATTATTCCAAGCCCATTGCCTACTAGATTCAAAAACATGTTTGTTCCCAAATGAACCCGCTCCGGAGTCCGACCCGACAAAACCCTATGGATTTCGATTTAATTTCGTCAATTTTCTATCGATTATCTATCATTGAATCTTGAGTAAAATTCATCCGTCTCAAAATAATACGTCTTAATTCCGTCCCTCTAATGAAATTAAGACACATTCCATAGTAGATTTACTAACAAAAAATTTGTATTCCAATCACTTGGAAGCATCTTTATTCGTACGCAATTTACTTATTCATGTCTGACAAGTCTTTACGTGCATAGCAAAATTCAAGACAAAACAGTACAACTACATGTTGTCCCACGTTTGAAACTACATTAGATTGTGATATCACAGTACCCAAGTGGCATATAATTGCATTTTTTAATAGTCTCGCCAACTTATCAAACAAAAGTCATGTAAATCACTAAAACCTTCCAAAATTCTTTTACATGCCTAACCCACTTTCTGTATATCAAGGTTAGGGGAGTTGCGACGTAGTTCTTTACCTTTTCTTGATCAAATTAAGCACCAATCTCCCAAATCTTGACACAATTCAGATCTCACTCATTGATGGTATATCATATGGCAATCTACTTGAAGGGTTTTATGTACAACATTATTCTACTCATCATACACTTTAACTAGAGTTGACTTACCAAAGAATTGTTGGTCCAATAAGTCTCAATGATCTTTTTATTAACAAACAAACCTTTTTCAAGAATCCAATCTTCAATCATTGCCTGAGAATTCACTGATTGATCTGCTGGCACGAGATGTCCAGCTCCCAAAACTACCACAGTGCTCAAATTCCTCCATTTTTGAACATATCCTGCAATTTGACCATTGACTACCCATATCTCTCTCTTTGACTCTAGATACTGTTTCATCCCTGCCCACTTCATCTTCTTCACCCAAGATTCAGTTCCCACAACCCCAACTCTCAAATCACACTGCCCAGAATATAACAGAACCTTTACATTGCTTTTCTCCATCAAATACTCCATCATGTATCTCACACTTTTCATCAAATCATGATGTAATGCTGATCCCACCACTCCACTGCATTCTTGATAAACTATTGATTCGTTTGCTCCCAAGATTTTCTTGATTTCTGTATCTGATAAGAATGCTGTGACTATGTTGGTTTGATAAGGTGTCAGCCTCCTGAAATCGTACAATGTCGCCATTCCAGTCATGTTTTGCAACAAGTTTAAGAGCTTGCTTCGTGTCTTTGTTGCCCGATTCCATTGGTGTTCTTTGGTTAATTGAACAGCTTCAAGTTGAAGTTTTTCCAGTTGGGTTTTTTGTTTCTGGTTGATCAATCCAAGAAAGTAAGCAGTTTGAGCATGGGTTGTCACTTGGGTTACTGGGTCAGTCAACCCATTTCCGATGGCTAATCCGAGCAGATTCATCCGTTTTGAAACGGATAAATTGGCGTTTCTTTTGATGATGTAATACCCAATTGATGGCACATATTTTCCAGCGTAACTCTCCCCTGTAATGTAGATTGGACGTGATTCGAACGCTGAGTCTGAAGCGATAAACTTCTTGATGGCAATTGATAGGTGTTTGGCAACGGCGTTTTGGTCTCTTGGTATTTCTTCCGGTGTCGAAGCGATACTAAAACCGGTCCCGATTGGATTATCAAGAAAAAGAAGACCGAACATTCGGTTCCAAGAACCTGGATTCGGTTCGAGCGTGAGGTGTTCGACCTTTTGCCGCTGAGAAGTAGAAGATGTGACAAGCCATGGGCCAAGTTCGTAGAAGTTTCCGGTCATGGAGGAGCAACCAGGACCACCTTGGAGCCAAATGAGAAGTGGGGTTTTTGAAAGAGAGGCGTTCTTGGGGTTCTTGGCTTCATAAAAGACGTAGAAAATGGCGGAGCCGGTGGTGGAGTTGATGGGAAGATAGCCGGATTTTGTAGGCAGAGCTTCTTTAGGGAAGGTGATGGTTCTGGAAGAAATGGCGGTTGATTGCGGTGGAAGGTGGTGGTGGAGGGCGGAGAAGAAGAGGATGAACTTGAAGAGGGTTAATACGACCGACTCCATGTCTGCTGATGAGAAGAACAAAGGGACGGCGTGGCGTTACATAAAAAGACGGAATTGGACACTCGGGTGATGAGTCGATTCATTCACAAATTCTTCAAAATTTATTGGAAATAGATAAATAAAAATTGAAATCCCTAAATTAAATAAATTATATTTATATTCAACAAATTCTTCATTTTAATAATACAATATTAATTAAAATATTATTTTTTTATTTTAAATATATTTTTAAAAATCTCCGATATGTTTTTTATAATTTTTTTAAATAGAGAGCAAAAGGATAGAATTTTTAAAAATAATTACATTCAATTTCAACATATTCTTTATTTTAAAGATTTTAATATAGATTATATTACTGTAATAATCTCTAAATTAGCATCGAATTTACATTTTAAAAAAACATTTTATAAAGAAAATAACAACTCAATCTCATTGGTGGAAATCGAAAAAAATAATCATTGTTCTCTCCTAACATCAAGTTTTAGAGAATTCTTGTATTTAGAGATTTCTTTATAATTTTCTATTTTAGGGAACAAGAAAAAAAAGCCATTGGAGCATTTCAGAGAACAAAACCTCTTCTTTTTTTCCTGTTTTAGAGAAACTGTTGGAAATGTTCTTAGGAAGCATTTGGTTCATAGATTCTGAAGAATTTTGATGGAAAAATGTTGAATTTCATTGATCAAATTTTATTCTCTAGTTTGGTTTTTTTTTTATTTTTTTACGAAAGAAATCTTCAAAATCATACAAATTTCATGAATAAAAGAATTTAACATTCCTTGACAACTACATGATATTTTGATGTAATAGATATCTCTATTTTCATAATACCAAATATGCTTTTAACCCGATTTATCTCCATTAATCGTCTTCCTCTGGAACTGGAACGTCATCGTCGAAAATCAAAAATCGAAAAACTCGAACACTTAAAGAACAATAGAAACCGTCAATTTCAAATCGTCAAAGCCAATCATCTTTTGAACTGTGATCCGTCTATCCCATCGTCACTGATTCGAGTTACTGGGTTTGTTATTAACAAGTTAAAACAGTTGGCCCTCTATTTATAACTAAAGCCCAAGTCTCAAATTATTAAACCCCAAAACTCAAAACTAATATTATATAAAAAATGTGATGCCCCTTTAGGCTTTGATGAACTATGCAGTCGCATGGGCTGCACGTGCCCAGGGCCGGGCCTGCGTCCCTGTAGTTTTATGTGTGGAGGAGCTCGAAATGCTTGTTGGTGATGAGGGGTTTGGTCGGCGGTGTCCAATGCTTTGGCCCCTCTGAATCAGACGAGTTGCAGATGCAGTTATTAATATTGATGAATCAGACAAGTTGTAGATGTTGCGATGGAGAAGAAAATCGATGATGGTGGTTGTGTTGAACGAGAAGATCGATCAAGTCAAGTTGGGATAGGCGACAGGGGTGATGGAGAAGAAAGATCGGTGGTGGTTATTTGTTGGAGGCCAGGATCAACAAAAACAAAAACAAAAGGTTGGGGTGAGGGTATAGAGGGTATTTGTTTATTTAATGTTTTTAAAAAAGAAAATTGGTAACGAGGGTAAAAAGACAAAAATACCCTTTACTTAATGGATGTTGTTTAATGGAGTTGGTGACTGGTGACCACTTTCAAAGTAAAATGAAAACTACAAGGATGATTTTTAGATTTATCAAAGTATTGATCCCATTTTCAAACTTTTCACTAGACCTCAAGGACTAAAATCGGACTTTATATTAAAATGAGTGATGAGTTACATAGTTATGATTGTGCTTTGCCAATCATATTACATATTAAATATCAATCATAGGGCCTTGGGACTTCCGGGCTTTTGAGGTCTCAAAGCTAGGTCTAAGGACACTCGGACTTTCGGGTCTGGAACTGGTGAGGACAGGTTATGGGACCGTCGGTTACATCTGCTTATGGTTTTTGTCGGATTTGTGGGACCGGGACCGGTTATGGACCAGCCCGGACCGAAATATTAAAAAAAATGGTTTTTTTTTTTTTTTTTTTAAATCTAGCCGTTTTTGACCTTTTTTTTTTTGTATTTTTTGGTCTCTAAACACTATAAATATGTAACAAGATTGAGTGATTTACATACCAAGTTCTCAATTCGCAAAAAAATGTTCACAATTCTCGTAATAAAACGTATTTTAAAGTGTATTTTTGAGTGACCCGTACGACAAATTTAATAATGTATTAAAAATATATTTTATTAAAAAATTTAAAAAATATTTATTTAAGGGTGGGACCGGCGGCCGATAACCGGTTATAAACTAGCCTGACCGTTCTTCATCTATTCGACCGGGATCGGTTATAGCCAGTTATGAGAAATCTTGGGCATGATCAAGCCCGTGACCGATTTTTGACCATCACTACTGCAAAGCACATGCCTCAATCATCTTCTAGATTATTGCATGAATCTACTCAATCAAGTAAGGGGTTGTTTACCAAACCTTTACCCGAGTAATCGCTTACTAAGTCATGTTATCTCATCGGATGAATATGGTAAGTAAAAAATAGTGTTAAATTTTACCGATAAGCACTTACCGAATAAGTGTTTGGTAAACGGCCCTTAAGAATTTGTGACTGATTTCTATCGATTGTTTGTTGTTTATACTTAATACGTATATACCCTAGACTTAATATAATCTATTTATGTTCTTCTACAAATTTATTTATTTATATATACATACATATATTTCAATCAAAACAATTACTATATCACCAACGTCTTTATGAATTATGATGCAGGAAATGTTCCTTAAGATAAGCAGATTAATTGGTAAAAAAAAATATCTTTTACACTTTGGTATATATATTATGGGTAAATTGCATGAAAAAATAACGTAATTTAACTTTATTTTTATTTTGGGTAACATACTTTTAAAACTTTCATTTTGGTACATAATATATAAAATTTTAAACATTTAAATATTTGCATAACTGGTTCAAGATTAATTTTAGATTAAAAAAAAGACTAATTGTAGATTAAAAAAATCCATGTCACTAACCACGTCAGCAAATAATACGGAGTTAGATACCACATCACTCGTCACATCAACATGATAACCGGTTAATGCTTCAATCGGTTACCCGAGTACTTAAAATGTTTAAAACTTTACATCACAAGTACCAAAATGAAAATTTTAAAAATACATCACTAAAAATATGAATCAAATGGAAATACGTTTCTTTTTCAGACAATTTACCAATATATCATATAAGAATTAGTTTTTAACCATATTTATTTTATTGTATCTAAAATTGAAAATTAAATGTATCCCACCTGATTCGATGCATGGTTCAATGAAATTGATTGTTATATCCAAATTCAAACCTTTTTTAATAATATCTTGACGTATGGGAAGGGAAGGTCAAAGTTTTGACTTTATATAGTCAAAGTCAACAAACATAAAATTCAATAAAAACCTTTTATTTTAATTAAATTTTATACTCTCAAAAGTATAAATATTAATTAATTGCTTTGACTTATATTTACTCGCTTTTACCAATTTCTCCTTTAAATTTCCTCTCTAAAACACTCTATAATTTTCTCTCTCTCTCTCTCTCTCTCTATATATATATATATATATATATGTATGTATTCTTTTCTGATGAATCTGTGAAAGTTTTCGAGATCAGTGTTTAAGAAGCAAGTTAACTATATATGGAGAATTTACATAAAAGCCCAACATCTTTAGACTTGAGCATTTCAGTCTTTGGCTTCGCTTCTGCTTCAGGTAAAACATACGATTTTACTGATATATATGGTTTTTTTCATAACAACTATCTTTCTTTGTGTTTTGGGTTTGTTCGGTGCATGATAATTGTCTTACCAAACTGAGGTCGTTTAGGTCTACAGTATGCACCATGAACTTTTCTTTAAAAGGATAATGTGCTGGTATGTCATATAGTTCAAGTAGAAGTATGTAACTACAGCTGAAATCTATGTTTTATCAACAAATACAAACAGATAATATCTGATTATTTATAATATTTATTGAAAATTATGTAATTTCAACTTGAATTGTTTTATGAACTTCAAAAATATATATTGCATGGACTTTGTTTCTTTGTAGTGGTAGGTACTTGTTTTTGGATTATTTGGTAAATGTTAATATTTATTTTTGTGACTAAAATTCTTCTTAATTTATTTATTTGATAATAATTTTGACAATAAAGGTGACGATAAAAGAGAGAAGGGAAATGAGAGTAATGTTGTAAGGAGAAAATTTGACATTAATAAGGTTCCATCAGAGGAACAATGGATCACCACCACCATTGGCGGAAATGAAGAAGAGAGCGCCACCACTATCGGAATTAGCAAGGCAACTAATGGAGGAGGTGGTGGGCCTCCAATGAAGAAAATCCGACTCAGTGTAGACCAGTCCCGTTTGCTTGAAGAAAGCTTCCAACAAAATTACAGATTGAACCCTGTAATTTCAAAAAAGTTTCATTGCATCCCCTTTTGTACTTTACTATCAATTCATCTTTGTAACTGATGGTCTTTTATGCAGAAAATGAAACAGGAATTGGCCGGAAAGTTGATGCTAAAACCCCGACAAGTAGAGGTTTGGTTTCAAAATCGACGAGCTAGGTACACTAATGAGAGTGATGATAAAAGTAGACCACTTGTGAAAATAATTTATGTATTATATAGGTTGTTTATCATACAACATATCCTATTTGTACAACCATTCAACCCAATCCCAACTGTCCATTTAATCAAGTGAATATGTGGTTACATAAATATATTCATTGTTTTTTAATATAAAACATTTATCAATGAACTATAATCATCTTTCATAAATATCCAAATCATAATAAATGATCATAATTGATTGGGTTGCATTGGTTGTACAAATGAGATATGTTGCATTTGAAATGTCCCCCCCTCTCTATATGTGTGTATGTATGTATGTATGTATGTATATATATATATATATATATAGAGAGAGAGAGAGAGAGAGAGATTTAGGATCATGTGAGACAATACTATTTTTTTGAGACCCGTGAGACCATTTTTTACACTTAAAACTTCACAGCAAAACATTGTGAAAGTAACCATCATAATAGTTTCTCTATGAAGGTTCAGATTGTTGTACCTTCACAGTGTTTGCTGTAAAGTTTCAAATATAAAAATATGGTCTCACAGGTCTTACAAAAACAAGCTGGTCTTACATGAATCCAACCCTATACACACACATGTCTAACACGAGAATAAATAAATACAGGAACAAGCTCAAGCAAACAGAGATCAAATACGAGTATTTGAAGAGATGTTTTGAATCACTTGCCGAACAAAACAAGAAGTTACACAAGGAGCTGGAGGAGTTAACGACCACAAGAGTGGGCTCGTCAACCATGTTCTCACCCGTGGTTGCGAGCCCTTCCCATCATCCAAGCTAGTTATGTCCCCTTAAATTCAACTCTTGACAACCTACTAGCAACCACCTAGTACGTTCTCAATCAGACAACGAAATGATACTACATTTAGATTCATATCTTATTTTATTCTTGATAAAATAATTTATTTTTTTATAAATATTTAACAAATTTGACCCTAAATGAACTCCAATGCTCTACAATTCCCAACATTCGGTGGTTATTTTTAGAATTCTCTCTACAAATTCTTTTTTCTTCGGTTTTTTTGTCATCTATCATATCAAGTCTTCACCCAAATTAAGTTCGAGTTCGTGACCTTAATTTCACCTTGCAAGTTGCTTCAACCCGAATGTTGTTGGGCCCATATCATTCGGGTTGGATTGCAAATCAAATGGTCGTGATCGTGATCCATGAAGACCATGATCATAATTGGTTGATTTGACACAAGGCCCATTATGCTTAAGACAGTCATCACTATGGGCCACATATTAAGCCCACTATTAAGCCCACACGTGTATAATGTTAATAACCAATAAAATAAAAAATAGATTTACAAAAATCACAATACGAATATGTCTTTTTTTTTTAAATTATAAATTTAGAAAAAGTTTGCTCCAATAGTTATATTATAACAAAACTTTTGGTGACTTGTGTGAGTTTTATACTCCAACAACCATGTTATATTGTATGATAAAATAGAAAAAAAAAAACCACAAGAGTGATACCTAATTGGTTTGAGCTTCGCTCTAAAGGTCAAAAGTACCAGGAGGTCCTAGGTTCAAATCCAAGAAGAAATAAAAAATCCCCTTGTAGCCATGAAGGTTCAAATGCGGTGACTTCGGGCTATCTGCAAATCAGGTGGTCGCCCTGGGATTAGTTGACTCGCATAACGGGTTGGATATCCAGGTTAATAAAAAAAATAGAAAAAAAGAAGAAGAAAGATAATATGAAAATTTAAAAACTTATAAATGTATATAGGAGAGAGATATTTTAATTTTTATTCACTAATAAGAGATATTGAGAATAAATGTTTAGGAGAGAGAATAATAATTTATTAAATATATTAGATATTTTAATAATATAATTACTAAAATATAATAGCCGTTGGAGTTGGATATGTTTTTTTTTTTTTTTTTACAGATTTTGCCTTTTAATACTATATTCTATAAAAAAAGAAAATATAACATTAACTGTTGAAGATGCTGTAAGGAGCTATATCGTGAAGTCACCCTTTTTTTTTTCGTAATTTAAAATAAAATTAGCATAAAAATCTTAATTACAAAAATTTCATCCCTTTCCTCTAGACTAGAATTTATAATCACTTTTGAAAATTCCTCGGTTTATTTTTGGCTTAACTGTTAATCACAATTCATAATCAGTGAAAAAAAAAGATCATGTCAGTACATCTTGGCTAAACTAAGAGAAGGAAATTTTATCTTGATTCAATCTAAACCAACAATCCATTGATTTTACTTTTAGAATGTCGAAATGAAAGTAGT